TTTCAATTGAAAGGGCTTTATTCATCATTCATTTTCTTTGAACACCTCATTTATAGTTCATGGAATAAAATGGACAGTACCACAGATACAAGATTGGCTCAGTGACAGAACATGGTATTTTTGGGATGGGTTAACAGTGACGTGGCCCAGGGATGTGCGTTCAGACCCCTTCACACCTGGAGTACTGTGTTCAGTTTTGGTCTCCTTACTTGAGAAAGGATGTACTGGCACTGGAGGGGGTGCAGAGGAGGTTCACTAGGTTGATTCCGGAGTTGAGGGGGTGGCTTATGAGGACAGACTGAGTAGATTGGGATTATATTCATTGGAATTCAGAAGATTGAGGGGGGATCTTATAGAAACATATAACATTACGAAGGGAATAGATAAGATCGAAGTAGAGAGGATGTTTCCACTGGCAGGTGAAGCTAGGACAAGAGGGCATAGCCTCAAGATTAGAGGGAGCAGATTTAGGACTGAACTGAGAAGGAATTTCTTCACCCAGAGGGTTGTTAATCTATGGAATTCCTTGCCCAGTGAAGTAGTTGACACTACTTCAGTAAATGCTTTTTAAAAAAAAGGTAGATTTTTTTTGAACAATAAAGGAATTAAGGGATACGGTGAGAACGCGGGTAAGTGGATCTGAGTCCACGAAAGGATCAGCCATGATCTTATTGAATGGCGGAGCAGGCTCAAAGGGCCAGACGGCCTACTCCTGCTCCTAGTTCTTATGTTCTTATGTTCACTTCCTGATGTAGATTACTCATCTACACTCTGGCCTATGGGGCACAATTGCAAAATTTGCTGGTGAAACGAAATGGATAGAAGATTGGCAGATAGCCAAAGTGAGGTTGAAAGGGTCTTTCTCAGGATGGCAGCCGGTGACAAGTGGTGTTCCACAAGGGTCAGAGTTGGAATCACAACTTTTCACTTTATACATTAATGATCTCGATGAAGGAACTGTGAGCATTCTGGCTAAGTTTGCAGACGATACAAATGTAGGTAAAGGGACAGGTAGTATTGAGGAGGCAGGGAGGCTGCGAAGGATTTGGACAGGTTAGGAGAGTGTGAAAAGAAGTGGCAGATGGAGTATAACGTGAGAAAGTTTGAGGTCATGCACTTTGGTAAGAAGAAAAGAAGCATGGACTATTTTCTAAATGGGGAGAAAATTCAGAAGTCTGAAACGCAAAGAGACTGAGGAGTTCTAGTCCAGGATTCTCTCAAAGTAAACTTGCAGGTTGAGTCAGCAGTTTGGAAAGGAAATGCAACTTTAGCATTTATATTGAGAGGACTTGAATATAAAAGCAGGGATATACTTCTGAGGCTTTATAAGGCTCTGGTCAGGCCACATTTAGAGTGTTGTGCGCAGTTTTGGGCCCCATATCTCAGGAAGGCCATACTGGCCCTGGAGTGGGTTCAGAGGAGGTTCACGAGAATGGTCCCAGAAATGAAAAGCTTAACAGATGAGGAATGTTTGAAGACTCTGGGTCTATACTTGATGGAGTTTAGAAGGATGAGGGGTGGTCTAAATGAAACTTACAGAATACTGAACAGCCTGGACAGAGTGGATGTTGGGAAGATGTTTCCATTGGTAGAAGAGACTAGGGCCCATGGGAACAGCCTTAGAGCAAAGGGAAGACCTTTTACAGCAGAGATAAGGAGCAACTTCTTCAGCCAGAGAGTGGTGAATCTATGGAATTCATTGCGACAGAAGGCTGTGGAGGCCACGTCATTGAGTATATTTAACACAGAGATAGATAGGCTCTTGACTGTCAAGGGGATCAAGGGTTATGGGGAGTAAGTGGGAGAATGGGATTGAGAAACTTATCAGCTTTGATTGAATAGTGGAGCAGACTCAGTGGGCCAAATGGCCTAATTTCTGCTCCTGTGTCTTATGGTCTTAAGAGCTCGAATAGGATTATGAACTGTGAGAAGACACATGTAGAACTCCAAAAAAAAGCACCAAATTTTTTTTTAAAAAAGATGGTAACATTTAAGCAGGAAAGTGGGAAGTGAATCACATCAGTCAGAAGAACACAGAAGACAATAAACAAAACAAACAAACAAACTCTAGAAGAGGTGGGGGAGGTACCCAGGAACATGCAGAAATTATTGAGGGTGGAAGGGCAGGTTGAGATAATGGTTATTAAAGCTTACTTCATGCTGGAATTTATCAACAAGGGGACAAAGTACAAAAATTAATGCTGATTCAAGCCTCATTAAAAGGAGGATTGTGCCCAATGCTGGGGGCCACACTTTTGAAAAGATGTAAAGGCATTGGACAGGGTACAGGAGAGATTCACAGGAATGGTTCCTGGAATGTGGAACTTTAGTTATGTGGAAGGATTGAAGATACTGCGACAGTTCTTGGAGATTGAGAGGAGATTTGATAGAGGTGTTCAATATCATAAGGAGTCTGGACCAAGTCAATAGGAAAAATCTGTTCCCATTATTAGAATGGTAGAGAACTAGACAACACAGGTTTCCAGTAATGGACAAAAAGCAGAGGAGAAACTTTTTCACACTGGAATCTGGAATGTGCTGCCTGAGAGAACAGCAGCAGCAGATTTAATTGGGATGTCCAAGAGGGAATTGGCTTGTCATCTGAAAAGGTGTAATTTGCAGGGTTACAGGGGAAAAGACAATATATAAAAAAAAACAGGGGAAAGGAAGAGGGTGTGGGCACTAGGAGAACTGCGCCTGTAGAGGGCCAGCACACACAACAGGCTGAATGGCCTCTTCCTGCCTCCTCCAGCCATTCTCTGATTGCATTGGTTCTAAAAATATTGGGGAGGCAATGGCCTAGTGGTATTATTGCTGGGCTATTAATCCAGAGACCAAGGTAATGTTCTGGGTTCGAATCCCGCCACAGCAGATGGTGGAATTTGAATTCAATTAAAATATCTGGAATTAAGGGTCTAATGATGACCGTGAATCGATTGTCGATTGTCAGAAAAATCTATCTGGTTCACCAATGTCCTTTAGGGAAGGAAACTGCCATCCTTACCTGGTCTGGCCTACATGTGACTCCAGACCCACCACAATGTAGTTGACTCATAACTGCCCTCTGGGCACGTAGGGATGGGCAATAAATGCTGCCTAGCCAGCAACGCCCTCATCCCGTGAATTAATAAAGGAAAAATAAATGGAGATGGGGAGAAAAGACCCACCCACTAAGAAGTCAAGCTTGATCCAAGTGGGCAGCCCAAGATTCTATCCAATCGGATGGTGGTGGGAGTGCGAGACTGGGGCTGTGACACAATACAGGCATTTTGATCAAACTTCCAGCAACACAGTCAACAAAAACTGACAACCCTACCTTGGCAGAGTCTGAACAAGCTTCTCAAATCTGTATACACGCAGAACTCCGGGCTCCAGCTTTCCCGTAGCAGCTGGCAGGTACCAAGAGGCTCCAACCAATGCAAACTAGCAGCTGCCTGGCATTCAGAAGCACTACGACTGGGTTTATTTTCATGTACTTCCTCCTATATTAATCCCTTCCCCCTGTCCCCACTACTGTCTTGGAGCAGTTGTTACTCACATGGCCCTTCATTTAAAGTTGGTGTTAATTATTAACATTCACAAATTGTACAAACATCGTAAATGGAAAACAGTTTGATCTAATGACACTGTGTAAACGTCATGGAGGTAATGGCCTCCTGTCCTCCACCAGCTCCTTTTGGAAGCTGCAGTGTGATGAAGCTGCCCTGACTTGGAGCATACACACAGTCAAAAAGCAAGAGACTTGGAATATCAAAATTAAGATTTAATGGCTTAGAGAACAGCTGAAGGACTGTTCTCCCTCTGTACACTCAAGGATGCTGTGAAACTCTGAGGGCAGGAGATGGTGTACCGGCAGGAGAGAGTAAGGACGACAGATGCTGGAACGCAGAGTCAGTAAACGTGGAGCTGGAGAAACACAGCAGGTCAGACGCATCACAGGAGCAGGAAAGTCAACATTTTAGGCTAAAACTGTGTCAGGACTGGGGAGGGGGGGGGGAGCCTAGAAATAAAGAGGGGGGAGTGGGGCTGGGGAAAGGTAGGTGGGATGGTGTTAGGTGGATGAAGGTAGCGGGTTATATTGTTTTGTCAGTGGGAAGGGGGGAAACGAATGGGTGAGTAGGAAGATGGACAGTTTAGGACAGGTCAGGGAGGCAGGACATGGGATAAGGCTGGGGGTGGAGAGGTTTTGAAGCTGGTGAAGTCAAGATTCAGGCTCTTGGGCTGTAAACTCCCAAAGCAAAATATCAGGTGTTGTTCCTCCAGTTTATGCTTGGCCTCACTCTGACAGTGGAGGACAAGTCCAGACCCAACACCAGCACTTCCATTTCATGACAGTGGAGGATGCTAAGGATGGACAGGTCATCAGGGGAGTTAAAATGGATGGTAACCAGAAGGTTGGATTGGCTGATGTGCAGAGAGTGCAGATGCCCTGTGAACCAGTCCCCGAGTCTGCATTTGGTCTCCCTGATATAGGGGAGACCACATCGGGAGCAATGGATACAAGTTTGGATGAAGTGCAGGTGAAGCTCTGCTGGATCTGGAAGGACGGTTTGGGGCCTTGGACAGAGGTGAGAGTGGACGTGTGGGGCAGATGTTGTACCTTTTGCGGTTATATAGGGAAAGGTACCAGGTGTGGTGGAGAGGTTGCTGGGGAGTGAAGAACTGATGAGGGAGTCGCAAAGTGAATGGTCCCTGCGGAATGGAGACGGGGCGGGGAAGGAAATACCTTTCTGGGAGTGGGGTGGAATTGTAGGTGGCGGAAATGTCGGAGAATGTTGTGCTGGATTTTGAGATTGGTGGGGTGCTATGTGATCCAGTTCTTTCCAGCTATTTCTATTTGTATTTAACATTCTAGGGTCTCAGCTCCAATGGCAGATGATAAAATCTGAATACAATATATCAAAAAAAAATGGAATAAAAAAAAAAATAGCCTCATAGTAACCATGTAAACATGTGTCTTGTTTGTTTTTACCTTCAGGAAGAAAATCTGCCATCCTTACCCAGTCTGGACTACACCCAACTCCAGACCCACAACAATGTGGTTGATTTTTACTGTCCTCTGAGCTATTAGTGACAGGCAGCAAAATCCAACTTTACCAGTGATGCTCAGGAATAAGTTGCCTAATCTGAGGAAATACAAACAAATAAATAAATACAAATTAGAAACCTGGCTGCTTTTAAAGAGCAATTTAGAGTCCCATTGTGGTAGAACTGTAAACTGATGAAGAAATGAGACAGAGTTGAGAGGAATGAGATGTTCCCAGTGATTTAGTGGTTCAAGCAGGAGACCTGGGTTCAAGGTTAAACGCAAAGACTGAAAGCAGAAGAAACACAGATGGCCGCAGTATAAAAAGGAGAGAGAATTGTTTGGCCATTTCAGATGACAGTTAGTCACATTGCAGTGGGTGAAAGTCATGTGTAATCAAACTGCGCAAGGCTCACAACTTCTCTTTCCTGAAAAAGGAGGGGCATTAGCGAACCACTTTGGTTCTTCTCAACTTTCCTCACGACCACTTTTACTCATGTGCCAGCTTCTCATTCCCAAAATCCTGGCAGGCAGAGCAACCACTTGCCAGAAATTCAAACCAACTCAGCTGCAGAAACCAACCACAACAAAAACTCCAGAAGCTCCAAAACTATAAGCGGGTGATGCTGACAAAGGGCGCAGTGGCTCAGTCTGTGCCAAGTAGATTAAGTGGCCCATACATGGTACTTGCATGGCAACACCACTTGGGAATATGCTAGAGTTGACAGGTTGAGCTTAACCCAGAGGAAAGCAGCCTTTACACAACCAGGCAACTGTCCAGACAGCCCATGCACCAGCAAGTTCACCAACCAGCTCAGGACTATTCAGATCGAATGGGTTGCCAATCCTCTAGGAATGGCCTGGAGTCTCTGAATGCTGAGAATTAATCTCCTGCAGATTATTAGCCTCCAAGAAAGAAGAAAAAAATACAAACCCCAGAAGAGAAATCACAGCATGGGCACCAAATAAACAATTTATGTATTTTCTTTGAACATCTGCATTTATCAATCCTGCAAATATTGGAGATGATTCGATGGGCTGAATGGCCTACTTCTCTTTCTGTGATTTATGGTTGGTTACAAAAGAAAGTTCACCTTGCAGTTGATCTTGGTAATATAGCCCACCCAGGGGATGGGCAAAGCAAGCGAGTGGGTGGTCCACGTTGAAATACCAGGAATATACCCAATCAAGCAGTTGAAGATACCAAGAACTGCAGGTGCTGGAGTCAGAGTCAATGCAGTGTGTTCTGAAGAAGGGTCCTGACTCAAAACATTAACATTCCACCTCTTCTGATGCTGTCTGACCTGCTGTGTTCCAATCAGCAAGTTGGCAGCCATGTGACTGCTGGACTTAGTCAAGGACTGGAATGCACCGAAGTAGCTCCTGATCAGGAAATGGTTCGATTTTAAACTTTTTAACCCTCTTTAACCCTGCTTCACATAACTCCCAATCCAATTCTCTCAAAACAAAAACATCCACCTTTCAAACCCCAATTTCTTGTGCATCTCCATTCTAATCACGCTGCCATTGATGACCATGTCTTCAAGTAGCTAAACCTCTGCACCACTCTTTCCTCCTTTCAACAAAAATCTAAATAAAAGCATTAATGGAGGAGATCTGAAACACAAAACAACACAGGGCAATAGTGAACAAGTGAGGGAGAGAGAGGGCCCATGTGAAAGATGCATTAACAAAGGAAGAACGAGCCTGGTAGGCAAGAGGGTTTGGCAGCGTACAAGGCAAGTGAGAGAAAGCTACTGTCAATGGTACCACTAAGAAGCTTTGGGTAGCTTTGCCAGCACCGATCCTTCTTCTGACATAAATAATTAGCTACATGCACCTTCTGGAGAAGGGATCTCCACATAAGGTAGTCAGTAGGAGACTGGATCAATCTTGGTAATCAGAAACAGTTTGTTACATAGATAGAATGTAACTAGCTATTAAGTATGGAGATACAGGATAGTCCAACCAGACCCAAGTTCACCTTCAGAGTAAGATCCCATTATACTTCTGAACATTGAATCTATGACTATGACTCTATTATGCACCACAGAGTCATACAGCTTGGAAACAGACCCTTTGGCCGAACCAGTCCTTGCGGACCATAATCCCAAATGAAACTAGGTCCCACCTGCCTGCACTTGGCCCATATCCCCCCCAGTATTTCTTATTCACGTAATTATCTAAATGTCTCTTTAAATGCCATAACTGCACCCACATCCACCACTTCCTCTGGAATTTCATTCCACACATGGACCACTCTAAAGAAAATTGCCCCTCATGTCTTTAAAATCTTTCTTCTCTCACCTTAAAAATATGTTCCCTTGTCTTGAAATCCCCAGCCTAGGGAAAATACACCTGCCATTCACTTTATTTATACCTCTCATTATTTTATAAACCTCTATAAAGGTCACCTTTCAGTAGAATGTAGGAGGTTAAGAGAAGTCCCAGCTTATCCAGCCTCTCCTTATAACTCAAACCCTCCACTCCTGACAACATCCTGGTAAGTCTCCTCTGAGCTCTCTCCAGTTTAATAAATCCATCCTATAACTGGGCAACCAGAACTGGACACAGTACTCCAGAAGAGGCCTTTTAACTTAAAAGCATAAATGCTTGAAATCTGCAACAAACGAACAAACAGAGTGCTGGACAAACTCAGCAGGTCTGACAGCATTTGTGGAGAAAAAGCAGAGTCAACGATTCCAGTCCAGTGACCCTTCTTCAGAATGGGTCAGCGTGTTCTGAAGAAGGGTCACTGGACTCAAAACATTAATTCTGCTTTCTCTCCACAGATGCTGCCACACCTGCTGAGTTTCTCCAGCAACTTCTATTTGCATTTAACATTCTAGGGTCTCAGCTTTGATGGAGCTGGTGAGATTCGAACACAAATTTTAAAAAAATCTGGAATTAAAAAAAAAACAGCCTCATGGTAACCAAGTATTTATGAGGATTGTTTAGAAACAAACACCTGCTTCACTTTCCTTCCAGGAAGGAAATCTGCCACCCTTACTCAGTCTGGACTACACGTAACTCCTGACCTACAATGTGGTTGACTTTTATTGTCCTCTGAGTAATTAGTGATGGGCAAAAAAAAAATCCAGCTTCACCAGTGATGCTCAGAAGTAAAAGAAACAAATTGCCTAATTTGTGAAAATATAAATACATAAATACATTTTTAAAAATCTGGCTGTTTATGGAGGTGATTAGAGTGATAGAACTGTAAACCAAGGAAGGAATGAGACAGAGCTGAGAGGAACGAGATGTTCCCAGTGATTTAGGGATTCAAGCAAGAGACCTGGGTACAAGGTTACATTCAAAAAGTGAAAGCAGAAGAAACACAGATGGCTGTAGCACATAGTGAAAGAATTGTTTAGCCATTTCACAGAACAGCTAGTCACACTGTTATGGGTAAAATTCACGTGGTCAAAATGTGCAAGGCTTGCAACTTTTCCTTCCTGATAAAGAAAAGACATAAATGAACCACTTTGGTTCTTTGTGACAATCCTCACGCCCACTTTTACTAGTTTACCAGATTCTCATTCCCAAAAACCTGGCAGGCAGGGCAACTGCTTGCCAGAAACTCAAACTGCGTCAGCTGCAGAAACCAACCACAACAAAACCTACGGAAGCTCCAAAACTATAAATGGGCAATGCTGATATGGAGCACAGTGGCTCTGTCTTTGCCACTTGGATTAACTGGTCCATAACAAGGCATTGACAAAGGGAGAAAGAACGAACCTGATAGGCAAAAAGGGAAAGGCAGTGTACGAGGCGAGTGACAGAAAGATACTGTAAATGGTACAACTGAGAACCTTTGGGTAGTTTTGCCACCATGAAACCTCACCTACTTGCACCTTTTGGGGAAGGATTTCCATATAAAATTGTCAGAAGATACTGTCAATCTCAATATGCTGTAACAGTTTGTCACATAGTACTTAATAGCTAGTTACATTCCATGAGATACAAGATGGTCTAATCAGAGATAGTAGGAACTGCAGATGCTGGAGAATCTGAGATAACAAGGTGTAGAGCTAGATGAACACAGCAGGCCAAGTAGCATCAGAGGAGCAGGAAGGCTGACGATTCGGGCCTACCCCCTTCTTCAGAAATGTCTGAAGAAGGGTCTAGGCCTGAAACGTCAGCCTTCCTGCTCCTCTGATGCTGCTTGGCCTGCTGTGTTTGTCCAGCTCTACACCTTGTGGTCTAATCAGACACAGGTTCACCTTCAGAGTAAGATCATGTTACTACTTCTGAAACATTATGGCTCATAACTTAAACACAACTGGTGAGCTGTTAAATAAAACAAAGAACTACAGATGTTGGATATCTGAAACAAAAGCAGAAATTGCTGGAGAAACTCAACAGGTCTGGTAGTATCTGTGCAGAGAGAGAAACAGAGTTAATATTTTGAGTCCAGTGACTCTCCACAGATGCTACCAGACGTGCTGAGTTTCTCCAGCAATTTGTTTTTGTTTTACATCTGGTTAACTCCTCCCAGGAATAGCCCTTTATATCCTGATGAGGGCAGTTTATCTAGTAATGCCAGTTAACTCTTTCATCTACTAACTATGCTATACAAGCGAGGGGTGGGGGAAATGAGAAAGACAGACAATCTCACACACAGTTTTTGTAACATCAAGCCATTCCAAAGTATTTCACAGGATATCACAGCATCGTTTCAAAGTCCAATCACAATTCTTATAAAGGTTGAATGCCAGCCAGTATACACATAGCAAGGTCAGTGGCCAGATATCACGTTTTAATTCTGAAGAAGGGTCACTGGACTCGACGTGTTAATTCTGCTTTCTCTCCACAGATACTGCTGGACCTGCTGAGTTTCTCCAGCAATGTGTTTTTGATTCTGTTTTAGTTCAACAAGGAATGGCCATGGTACAGGGAAAGCTCCTGTATCATTAAATTAGCGCCAGAGGGTTCTTTACATCCCCCCTAAAAGGAAAACCAATTTAAAGACCAACACAATGCAGCCAGGTCT